ATCATTGCTACCACGAGTACCCACTTGAGGCTCTGACCAAGACTGCGGTAATGTTTGGTGGCATCATCAACTTCCGTCTTGTTGACGGTATCACGCTGAAGGTCGGTCTCGGTATGATCCTCGAGGCTGTCCGCGAACATGAACCCCACGACCCGATGTACAAGTTCGGCGTGGAAGCGATTGAGCAGTTGATTAACCGTCTCCCTGAGTGGGCTGGTTTCTGCCACCTACTCTTCCAGATTCCATCTCTTCAAGGCACGCCCATCTACCAAAAGGCAGAGGAGGTGCTCCGTGAGCAAGGAAACCAGATTGGCGAAGCCGAGGCAGGACCCTTTGATGGTCTTGCTTCTGTGCCTCTGACTAATGGCAATTCTGTCGACTCCCCCATCGCCGATGGCTCCGTGCGCAAGTTCCGTGCTGTTCAAGTCGACCCACCTCTTCGATCTGATCTCTACGAGGAGCCGGATGAAGACATCCAGGACAAGATTCTTTTTGTTCTTAACAATGTCTCCGAGCAGAACATTGATGAGAAGCTTGAAGATCTGCAAGAAGTGTTGCGCGACCAACACCATCAGTGGTTCGCCGCATACCTTGTGGAAGAACGTGCCAAGTTGCAGCCCAATTTCCAACAGCTCTATCTTGACCTTCTTGGGCGTATTGGCGACAAGATCCTCTGGGCTGAGGTCCTGCGGGAGACCTATGTCAGTGTTGCTAAGTTGATTAACTCAGAAAACACGTTAAGCTCGTCCACCGATCGCGGTCACCTGAAGAACCTTGGTGCTTGGCTTGGTTCGCTGACTATTGCCAAAGACAAACCCATCAAGCACAAGAACATATACTTCAAGGGCCTGCTTCTCGAAGGCTATGACACACAACGCCTAATGGTTACGATCCCCTTCACCTGCAAAGTTCTCGTGCAGGCTACAAAATCCACGGTCTTCAAGCCACCCAACCCCTGGCTGATGGATATCTTGGGCCTGCTGTTGGAGCTTTATCATTTTGCCGAATTGAAGCTCAATCTCAAGTTCGAGATTGAAGTCCTCTGCAAAGATCTTGATCTCGATCACAAGACAATTGAACCTGCAATCGTCATTCGCGATCGTGCTGCACATGCCGAGGAACCACTGCCCACTGTCAATGCGCCAGAGGGTCTTGCTGAGCCATTTGAGGACTTGTCCCTCACCGCTATCAACCCAGCTATTCGAAACGAGAGGTTGTCTCCCGCCGCCATCATGTCAACACTGCCAAGCCTCGACAAGATCCTTGTGCTGCCCTCATCAGCGAGCAGCATGGTCGATCCCACCATTCTCAAACAGATTGTGCACACCGCAGTTGAGCGCGCCATTGCCGAGATCATTACTCCTGTCGTTGAGCGTTCTGTCACCATTGCGTCCATTTCCACCGTACAACTTGTCTCTAAGGACTTTGCGATGGAACCCGATGAAGAACGTGTGCGCCATGCCGCGGGAATCATGGTCCGACAACTTGCTGGTAGCCTGGCACTTGTTACCTGCAAAGAGCCTCTGAAGGTTAGCATGACTAACTACATCCGCATGATTCAGCAAGACTACTCTGAGCAGCCTATGCCCGAAGGCTTGATTCTGATGTGTGTGAACGATAACCTGGACGCTGCCTGTGGTATTGTGGAGAAAGCCGCAGAGGAAAAGTCTTTGCCCGAGATCGAGAAGGTGATTGAGCCTCAGCTGGAGGCCCGTCGTCGCCACCAGGCCAGTCGCTCCAACGACCCCTTCATTGATCCTTCAATGAACCGTTGGGGATTGTTCATTCCGGAGCCTTACCGTCAAGCGCCTGGCGGTCTCAACAAGGAGCAACTCGCCATCTACGAAGAGTTTGCCCGTCAATCCCGAGGCCCAGCGCCATCCACTGATCCATCGGCTGGTCGTCAACTCCCCGACGTCCTGGGAGAATCTTACCCTGCTATTCCGAACCTTTCTACCCCGGCTGAGCAGCCAGCCATTCCTCACAGAACCCCCCAACCCCAACCTGCTGTTTCTCAAATGCCCCCCGTTCAGACCAACGGGTTCCTTGATGCTCAAAGCCCCCGGGAACGGGTGGAAAGCCTCGTCTCTGATCTCCAGCAGTCTGCTCGCAGCGCCCCTGAAGAACACGTCAAGGACCTTGGTAGAGATAGTGCAGTTCTCCAGGAATACAACCAGGCATTGCGCAGCATCCTTGCCTCGACGAATGGAGAGGAGCTGGCACGACTGACCTCTTTGAAGGTTTGCACCCTTTTGTATTCCCAGCCACATGGATCTCTCGAGATTGAAGTTCTCGTGCACCTTCTTTCCAAGCTGTGCGACATGTCCAGTCTCATTGCTCGGTACACATGGGCATTGCTCTCCGAAGTTGATGATGAGCACATGTTCAATGTGCCGGTCACCGTTGCTCTCATTGACGCAGGCCTCCTGGACATCCGTCGGGTCGATACGAACCTGACCCGACTCATTCTATCCAGGAATGTGCCCGCTTTGGAATTGCTCGGCAACCTGATGGACCGCGTTCTCTTCAATGAAGAACCCTCGGCCCTTCGATCAGACTTCTCTGGCAGTCTAGATGCCATGAGTCAATGGCTTGCCGAGGATCCAAACGTTGCTCCCGGTCTCGAAATCGTGCGCAAGCTTCGCGAGTCTGGCATTCCCGAGGTCGTCAACTCCCTCCTTACTGACCAAGCCAGGTCCAAGCGTGACCAAATGGAGTACATCTTCAGCGAGTGGATCGGTATCTACAAGGCTCCCGGTGCAACTGACCGCACCTTCCATTCTTTCCTTCAGGATCTCCACAACCGCCAAGTGATGAACAGCCAGGAGGACTCAGCGCTGTTTTTCCGTCTCAGCATCGACATTTCCGTCGCCATGTTTGAGCATGAGTCTCAGAACCCCAACGGCGGCAGCCTTGACGAGGCCTTCCTCTACATCGACGCCCTTGCTAAGCTTGTGATTCTTCTAATCAGATTCCAGGGCGAGAACTCTGGCGCCGTCAAAGCCAACAAGGCTACGTACTTCAACTCCATTCTGTCTCTCTTGGTCCTCGTCCTCAACCACCACCAGGTCATGAGAGGAGAAGCTTTCAACCAGCGTGTATTCTTCCGTCTCTTCTCCAGCATTCTGTGCGAGTACTCTATGAACGGCCTCCAGCACACTGAACAGCACCAGGGAATGATCTTCGCCTTGGCTAGCAAATTCCTCTCCTTCCAGCCCCGTTACGTACCCGGGTTCGTTTATGGCTGGCTTTGCTTGGTCTCTCACCGGGTGTTTATGTCTGACATGCTCAACATGCCCGATCGTGCAGGATGGGCGCCTTACTGCGAAATAATACAAGCATTGCTGTCCTACATGGGCGAGCAACTCAAGGCTGCCAACATCACATACGTTGCTAAAGATCTTTACAAGGGCGTGCTTCGTATCTTATTGATTCTGCACCACGATTTTCCCGAGTTCGTGGCTGAGAACCATTTCCAGTTCTGCAACGTGATCCCGGCTCATTGCGCTCAGCTCCGCAATCTTGTCCTCAGTGCCTACCCCTCGTCGTTCCAGAAGCTTCCCGATCCTTTCCGCGAAGGCTTGAAGGTCGAGCGTATTGAGGAGATGCGGGAAATCCCCAAGATTGCAGGTGATATCGTTGCTCCTTTGCAGGTTGCCAACATCAAGGACATCGTTGATGGTGTGCTCCAGAATGAGAGCATCTCCGACTCTGCTGTTCAGCAGCTTTGCGACGCCATCATCAACCCCGATTCTAAGGACACCGGCCTCTTCTTTGTCCCGGTCGACGTGGATGTCGTTCTGGTTAACGCGCTTGTTTTGTACATTGGCCAACAAGCCGCAGTGGAGCATGCCTCCAAGGGCAACACCCGCAGCGCCTTTGAGAACTCGACTCACGCTGCTCTTCTGGAGAAGATCGCCCAAGTTCTGCGACCTGAGAGCCGCTACTACTTGCTCAGTGCAATGGCCAACCAGCTCCGCTACCCCAACAGCCACACCTACTTCTTCAGCTTCACGATCCTCCGTCTGTTTGGCGTGGACTACTCCGAGCAAGATGACTCGGATATACGCCAGCAAATCATTCGTGTGTTGTTGGAGCGGCTGATTGTCCACCGCCCACATCCGTGGGGTCTGATCATCACCCTGCAGGAGCTCCTCCAGAACCGGAGCTACTCATTCTTCCGCCTCCCCTTTATCCAGGCGGCACCTGAGGTACTTTTACCCCCTATCTTCCACGATCTCGCAATACTAACTGCTCCTCAGATTGGCCGTCTTTTCGACGCCCTTCTCCAACATATTCAACAACAGAGCCCTCGGCCCATTGCCTAGACTTTTCTCGACCTCTCATCCTCATCCCCTCCTTCCATCTCTCCTCAAGTTCTTTCTCTGGTAACTCGGGCGGTACAGGAGTACTTCGTTGCATGTAATTTTCACGGGCTTCTCTTCCGCAATTGCTGATGTCTTTTGCGTTTTTTTTTCATTTTTATCTTTTCAGTTTCATGTTACGGCAGGGGCTAGCCGTGGTGATGGCATGCATATTTACTTTTTTTTCTCTTACGATTTCCGCATGACTTGAGGTTCCATGATATTTTTTTCGCGTCTCATGCTGCCCGTGACCTGTAATGTTAAGACTGTAAAAGCTGGAGTTGATGGTGTCATCATTATCTGCATGGGGCAATGCTAATTTACTATTCTTATGATCATTGTAACTTCTTTTCGGGCCTTCCGTACGGCTTCATATAATGAACCACACACCTTTGTCACTAATCATCAAACTAGCACTCCCCTAGACTAGATATACCCGGAAGGGAATAGCCCTCAAAGGCCTCCTTTACATCTATTGATATAAATATCAGATGCTAAAGAAAGGAAACGAATGGCAGATATTACAGGCATAGGCAGATATATGGTTGTAAGGAGACCTCGGTGCAGATAAGATAACAGGATAAGCCACATGAGACCTCAAACTTCCAAGCTTGTTCTACCAACTATTCCCCCAAAATGGCGGACTCGGAATTTGGAAACGAGTCAGAATATGGCCAATCTTCTACCAGGGCAGTCATAATGGTAAGTGTATTAATACAAGTTTCTCAGTTGTAACTAACGCAAGACAGGATGCGGTCCTCACACCGTTCCGCGCGCTGGTATCCAAGTCCGCCTTACGGCTATACCTGAACACGCTGCTGTTCATGGGTGCTGCAGCCCTCTTAACGGGTATCTCTGCAATTGCCTATATGGCCTTTTATTTCAAATTCATCCCCACGGTCGGACTACAGCGCGAAGTCCATCTACAATTCGGGTACGATAGCATTCCCCGCAACCAGACAGCTCAACTAACCTGTGCACAGCAATGGCAACCCCTGGGGCACAGCAAACTTCGACTCGGAATTCGTGGCTTTCCAGCCCTACGATGTATCCGTGACCCTCGAGCTTCCACGTACACCCTCAAATCTCGACACAGGCAACTTCATGCTCGACCTCACCCTCTTTTCCTCCCGCCCTGCCTCGTCCCTCCTACCCGGTCCAAATAACGCCCCCATCTCGCAGGCCCGTCGTCCTGCTATTATGACCTATGCGTCGCCGCTGGTGGATGTTGCCCGGAGAGCGGCACGAATACCGCTCTATGTTGTTGGCTGGCATCGAGAGTCGGAGACGTTGGAGGTGCCGATGATGGAGCAGCTTGAGTTTTCGAAGGGGACACAGAATTTACCACAGAGTCTGCGGCTGGAGATTCAAAGTGACTCGAAGATGCAGGTTTATACCGCTCAGGTGGAATTCCGCGCTAGGCTTACGGGGCTTAGGTAGGTCTTCTTGGGGATCGGGGTGTTTTTGAGGTGTGGCTAATCAATCGGTAGATGGCTTATGTGGCGCTGGAAGATTACTTCTTTTGTTGTTTTTAGCACTCTGTTTTGGTCTGTCTCTATGTTCTCTGCTGGCCTGACGTGGCTGGCGATGACTTGGGTTTGGCAGACTATGCCTAAGAATGAGATCAAGGAGGATTCGTCAGAGTCTATCAAAGAGGAGTCGGAGGACGGGGATACTTCCGATGAATCTGCCGAGGTCAAAGAGGAGCCGGAGCAGGAAAAGAGGTTGCTTTCTAACTATCCGGTTGAGGGTGAAGCCGGTACAGGCTCTGGACTAGAAAGCGCAGAATCTCGTGGAGTACAGAGACGGCGGAGTCATTTGACACAAGCATAGTGAAGTTATAGTGTCTCTGGTCATATGTTGTATCCTTATAGTATAGCGCGAATGGCATGTGGATCTGGGCCGATTGCGACAAAGCAAAGCGGGGGAGAACTTTCATCCCCTCCATTCTTCACATCTCAACCAACTCTACCAACAATGCATATCCTGGTAAGTAGATATAATTACAATGTTAATTTAGAGGCTCATCTCCGTCTAGGTCACCAACGACGACGGTCCTCCGTCAAATCAGTCATCGCCTTATGTGCATTCGCTCGTCCAATCGCTCCAGTCCGCCGGCCACACAGTCTCGGTCATTCTCCCGCACCAGCAGCGATCATGGATCGGTAAAGCGCACATTGTAGGTGCATCCGTCAAACCTACCTATTTCCGACCGGGCACGCTCCACCAAGAAGACGGGACAATACACCATCTCCCCCGAGGCAGTGATGGTCAACCCGACGAGGCTGAAGGCGACGAATGGGTTTTGATCGACTCGACTCCCGCAAGCTGTGTCCAGATCGGTCTATATCACTACTTCAAAGAACGTGGCCCTGTTGATGTCATTGTATCCGGTCCGAACTATGGTCGCAACACAACCGCACTGTTTGCATTGTCGAGTGGAACTATTGGCGCAGCGTTGGAAGGTGCCTGCTGTGGCACACGCTCAATTGCTCTGTCGTATGCTTTCAGCTCTCGGAACCATGACCCTGTTATTATCGCAGAGGCCTCGGGACATTCGGTCAAGTTGATTGAGCATCTTTGCGCAAACTGGGCAGACGGCGTGCACCTCTACAGCGTCAATGTTCCCCTCGAACCCGGCGTCAGTGAGAACAAGGTCTTATACACCGATATGCTGCAGAATCAGTGGACATCTGGGAGTTGCTTCCAGGCTGTCGACCCCACATCTGCGGGAGACCCTGATTTGCAAGAACAGCTGCTGCGCGACCAAGGCGAGGTGACAGGAAATAAACCGGATCAAACTGTCGGTGCCAGCGAGAAGTCATCCCGTGGACCCCAGATTCAACACAAGCATTTCAAGTGGGCGCCGAGCTTCCAGGATGTTTTCCGAAGCGTGGAGGAAAGTGAGCCTGGTAATGATGGCTGGACAGTTAAGGAGCAAATGACTAGGTTTGTCCACTGCCCTTTTACTTATGAACATCGACTGACTTTTACAGCGTCACACCTCTCAGAGCCAATTTCATGCCCGCGCCCGGTATTTCGGGGGAGATTAAGCTGTGAGTGACGACTTTGACGCGATGGGGGCATGGTATGGAGGGTTCTATCCGAAATCTACATGTTGCATGCACTCTAGATATCTGGCTTAGTTGTTAGATACCATGTCCCCTCCCCTTTGATCTGCTTTTCTTGTATTGGCGCCCATTCTGATAGACGGAGATCTTGTAGATCGGCTAATCAACCCTCGTTGTATTCCCTCGTCGACTGCGATGACTCCTACGTGCAAGAAATGGTTGACCGGGCATTGACCCGTCGCCTGGGAAATGCCTCCAAGCGAGTGTCTTCTGTTTCTGAACTACCAGACTCTTCCGCGCCTCTTTTCCAGTACCGCGAATATGAGCGCCTCGACTTCGAACACATCATGTCCAGGCCCTCGTCATCTCTTTCGAGCGCATACATTATCCGGAAAGCTTTGATTCGCAAGCACTATCTCTCAAATACAGTGGCCAATTGGATCTCAAAGCACCCAGATAGCATCCTACGACACCACTTCAAGCCCGCCTTCGACTTCGAACTCGACTATGCCGAATTCCTCGACGACGCCTTGCTAGAAGCATACGAGCTGAACGACAGTCTAGCCAAGAACGAAGAGCGGCCCGACTCCGAAAAGGAATGGTGGATCCTCAAGCCTGGCATGAGCGATCGAGGCCAGGGAATCCGCATCTTCAACAGCGAAGACCAGCTACGCGAGATCTTCGAGGAGTGGGAAGAAGACTCAGACGACGAGAGCGGATCTGAGACAAACACCGACGACGCCGAAGGTCACGTTGGTGCCGCCCTGGACACAGGCATCGTCACTTCACAGCTCCGCCACTTCCTCGTCCAGCCCTACATTGATCCTCCCCTCCTCCTCCCATCGTCTTCGAACCGCAAATTCCATATCCGCACCTACGTCCTCGCCTCGGGCTCACTCAAAGTTTACGTCTTCAAGGAGATGCTTGCACTCTTCGCTGCTAAGACCTACTGCCCCCCACATGAAGAAGAAGACGACGTCGCCGACCTCGCGCGCCATCTAACCAACACCTGTTTCCAGGAAGGCGGTAGCTCGAACAAAGAGAGTGTGCGTCGTTTCTGGGACCTCGACCATCATGTCCCCGGTCTTAGTGCAGACTGGAAGGAGAAGATCTTCGAGCAGATCTGCTCGGTGACGGGTGAGGTGTTTGAGGCTGCGGCTCGGGGCATGATGGTTCATTTCCAGACTTTACCTAATGCATTTGAGTTGTTTGGTGTTGATTTCCTCGTTGACACTAATGGTGAGGCGTGGCTGCTGGAGCTCAATGCATACCCGGATTTCGCGCAGACTGGTGAGGATCTGAAGGAGGCTGTTGTCGGGCGCTTGTTTGAAGAGGTGGTTGATGTTGCTGTCAAGCCGTTCTTTGGACTTGGTGATGGCGCTGGTACTGATGATATGAAGCTTGTTGCTGATCTTGATCTCGGAAGACATGCTTAGAGCTGGGTTAGAATAGATATAGATATACCACTTGTGATGTACAAAAATAAAAGTTTTGATTTGGATGTTTCATCTCCTTACATATTTTTTCTTCATAGTGTTTGTTCTACCCAGTTGTCTATGTAGTCCTCTGCCAAATGACATTGTACAATCAAACACTTTGCCTGTTCAGCTGTCATTCTTCCAGAAAATACGCCCCTCAAACAAACGACGTGCTGTACGAAAGACCGTCGCAGAACTCAACGCTCCATCTACATCGAAATTGGCACCAACCAACAGATTCCCACTTGCATGACCGATAGTAATCCCAGTACTATCGACAGGATCCTCATCCACAACGCCAGCCACAGTACTCTGCGGCACACGGGCAGCAGCAGCAAGAGCTAAAGCAACAGTAATCGGGACCGCCTTATGCGGCTGTCCAACAGAAAGCGCACGAGCTAAAAGATCAACATCAGCAGACGTCTGTCTCTGCTCGATATCTCTAGAATCGGTAGTCGAAGGCGCAGCCACGATACAGATCTTAGGAACACTACCAGGCACTTCCCCAGTCTCATCTGCAATACCCATCTTAACGCCCGCCTGCCGACGAATGGAATCCAAGCGCAGCAGCAAATCCGGATGCGCAGTGATCTCATCAGGAGTCAAATTCCCACTCACGCCGAGATCCAGCGCCTGCACAAAGACACAAGGGTTCCCGACATCGATGCACGTAGCCCTGATTTCATCAAAACTATCGACGACATTACCGGTAGGCAGGAGTTTCCCCGTAACCGAGCCGGCGGGGTTGATAAAGTCTAGCTGGACACGGGAAGCTGTACCAGCGACACCGTCTATAGCGAAGTCACCGCTGGCGGCAGCTTCACCGCCGACAACGGGGAAGTATGAATGGATGATCTTGCCTGTGTTGGTGTTGTGGATGCGTACCGAGGCTGAATCCGGGCTGGGATTCTGTAATGGGAAGACATGTGCATCGACGGCGAAGGGACCGACGGCGGAACTCATGTTCCCACAATTACTGGAATAGTCGACGTCGGTGTTTTTGATGCCAAGGGAGATGAAGGTGTAATCGACGTCGGCTTCGTCGTGTGTCGAGGCGCCTACTACACAAACCTTCGAAAGGCTAGATATCCCACCCCCTAATCCGTCTAGTTGTCGGCCATGGGGATCTGGACTACCGATTACACTGCGGAATATGGGGGCCCAGTCTTTCTTGTTTGTGGGTAGGTCTTCTTGCTTGAAGAAGACTGCGCGTGAGGTGCCGCCGCGGTAGTATGCTGCTGGAAGGGAGTGTTGTTTTTTGGTTTGAAGATATCGCCGGCTACCCGGTGCTAATTGGGTTGATGTTGACCAACGTGGTAGACGAGATAGTTGTTTGGACATGGTTCATAGTATCCTGGGCATTGTTTGGGGAAGATTATATCCATGGGTATGGTCTAAATGCCTCGGTGTCACTCCGATGGCGGTGTCGGACCGTTCCGTTGGAGCGGAGCCAACTGGCAGAGTATATGGGGTGTAGATCGTATTTATATATTGCTTTATGGATGTAAAAGTGAATAATACAGGATATTCAGATCAAGGGCGAACACCCGGACCTTTTTAATGTTCAGCCAAATCGCTGCTTCGCCAGAGCTTGCAAGAAGCTCATAGTCTCTTGCTCCTTCTGTCGATATGCCTGCGCACGTTCTTCACGCTCCGCTGTACGCGCACGAAGAATCTCCTCTCTCCGGATCTCACGATCGTTCTTCTTACGCTGGTCTTTCTCCTTCTCCCGTTTCAAGGCAGAGAAATCATTGCCTCCGCCCATTAAATCTTCATCCGGAGCTGCTTCTGGCGAACCACCGCGGGCAGAATCCGCGAATGCACGATTGCTTGAAGCAACTTCTCGCTTCTTCTCGAGCTGTCTCTCTCGTGTGCCTGCCTCAGCTCGCGGCGCAATCTCGTCTTCGAGTTGGCGCAATGCAGATTTGTGCGAACGAATTTCAGCGCGGTATTGATCGCGTGATTCACTGCGGGCAGCGATGGCATCCTCAATAGCAGATTCTAGAGAAGGGTCAGCACTCCGATCATATTTAGGGAAGTAGAAAAGCGTACCTCTTTTGAGCTCAAGATCTTGCATAGTTGGGATTGCAGGACCGGCTTGTGCACCGCCTCTCCCCGATCCAGGTTGTGGCAGACTAGGCCCGTACTCGTCGTCCTCATCGTCGTCGTCTACTGGCGGGTTCTGTGGGGCTTGAGCAGCCGCTCGCTCGCCCTGCGTATAATCAGGCGATTCGCGTCCGCCTCTCGGGCCGGCTTCCGGTTCTTTTTCTGCATTCTTACGTGCCTTGTCGAGTGTAGCGGGATCATACCATCCCTCGGCGAGCTCTCCACGGTTCCTGCGACGTCAGTAATTATTGCATCAAGCAAAGCGCACCCTCAGACATACCATTTTTGCGTGAAGCTCTTCCACCGCCCCTTCACCTCATCTTCACTCAAATCTTCGATATATTTCCCTTTCTGAATATCCAAATACATGCCAAACATGGGCTCGTAGACCTTCAGGTCGCGCGATGAGAGCTCGCGCGCTTGGTAAGGGAGCACGGCTGGTTTCGCTGGGGCATTTCTGTGTCGTCGCTCGTGGTGTCCGCGGTCTTTGTCTTCGTCACGGCGGTGGTGACGGTCCGATCGGTGTCTGTCTGATCGGTGCGGAGAGCGCGAGCGCGAGCTCTCTCGGGGCCGGTGGCGGTGGGAATGGCTGTGGCGGCTGCGGTGATGACGGCTTGAGCTTGGCGCAGACGGAGAGGCAGCTCGGTGCGATGAGCGAGTTGGTGATGGCATTTTGGTTGCTTCCTTTGTGGTTGAGAGGTTCTGGAAAGCCTGGAGTTTCCAAGGTTGTCTTCTGGGATGATAACAAAGACAGGTCGGCTTATCGGTTCCACCATCTGATTTCCAGAATGTCCCCGGGTTTTCGATTCTAACCGATCCATCATCCCAATCTTGTTGATTTCGACTATAAATTTACACAGAAATAAAAGCTACTGTATTACGGGCAAGTATTTCATCCAAATTCATAGTAGTAAATACATCTAGGCGAAGAGGTATACAACATTCAATAATTCAGCAAACCCAAATCAACTTTAGCTGGGAGGAGCGCTCTGCTCCAGGCTAGGGCTGGCGGTGGTTTCAGCAGGAGTGGCGGGTGCACTTGACTGCGAACTGGCCTTAGACCGGTTGGCTGCGGCCATTTGCCATGCCGGGATGGAGGCAGACCGACCAAGCTGGGAGAGGGGGTTGGGGCTCTGGCTTGTGCTCGCTGGAGCAGAGGCTTGAGTCGGCTCCTGTTCTGCTGGAGTTACAGTAGCAGCCAAGTTGTTGGTGGCGGCAGGAGCAGGGGCAGGGGGAGTGGCGGGGGTCTCTTCCAGAACCGGGCGAGGAGTACTGGGGACAGGAGTAGATCCCAGTGGAGTAGATCCCAGTGTCCTGCCAGTAACAGGGGTAGCTCCACCACCACCAAGTCGGTTGCCCAGCAAGGTCTTCAAGCTCTTAAGCTCGGTTCCGAGCTCCTTCAGTCTGTTCTCATTGCCTTCCCGGGCACCTTCAAGGGCCTTGGGAATAGCATCCTTCAACGACTTCACCTCGTCGCTAATGCGACGAGTCTCATCGTCTCTTCGGCGGGAGGAGTTCTTGAGATCAGCAACAAGATTCTCCACGTCCTTGAGAGCACCATCCAAGCGCTCGGTACGGGCTTCCTCGGCGGTCTTCAATGCAGCGGTATCGGTCGATAGTTGTTCGATCAGAGTAAATGCACGTGAGAACTGCTCATCGATGTTTTCTTTATCTTGTTCCAGCTGGGGAGGCGTCGGTGGGGCGATCAAAGGTGCGATATAACGCTGGATAGATTGATCAGCGCCATCGATTTTGAGAGATGGGGCCACTGGATACATACCTTTGTGACAGTATACAACCCGTAACCAACTCCACCCACTACTGTTGCCATAATAAACCAGTCACGCCAATCTCTCTTGGGTGGCCTTTTCATGTGATTAGTCTCAAACCCATGCGACGATCGATAGATAAACATACTCAGGAGGCGGCTGCCATTGATTATATGGAGGATAACCATATCCTTGAGGCGGCTGTGGTTGCCGGTAAGGAGCTGGCTGTGAAGAGTAGCTAGGTGCCGGGGATGCTGAAGCTGTAGCTGCGGCCGCAGCAGACGGGTCTTCGCCGACCCGCGATAAGGCAATGTCCACTTCCTCTTGAGTCAAGTTCTTAGATTGAAGAAATGAGACCCTCTTTTCAATGGGCGAAGACGCAACCGATGGGTCCTGAAGAACTAGATAAAGTCAGCGATCATCACACATCAAGTTGTGTGTCTCATAGTCCATACAGGTAACCTAGCGGACATGGGTTAGCAGTAGCCCGAAAGCGGATGATAAGAGCCATCATGCCAATAGACAACTTACAGCTGAAGCAATCAGCTCCTCGCGTGGAGCCATTATGATTGATGTGGACTGCCAGTGAAGTGCAGGAGAGATGAATTGAGGAGAGAAGATGCGATGCTCACATCGGCAATTGCCATTTGGACCTCGGAACTCGCGCCAACGCCAAGACTTCCCCAGACCGGGAGTCTCGTGATTATCGGCCAAATTGTTTTTCCTTTGGGAGCACACCGCCTACTTCATTTGAAAGTGGCACGCATTTGTTTACATCGCCGCCTCGTGGCTGCCAAACAACAGATCAAACCCCTCCACTCGGATTTTGTTGTGCCAACCCACTTGGACGTTGGATTTTTGTCAATACTCAACCATATCCAAAGTTGTTAAAAGAATCGCACTGTCTATCGCCGCCTTCGCGGCTTGTTTATCACCATGTCGCAAGATACTGGGCTTTTCAGTATTAAGCGCCCCCGAGAAGTATAGTTCCCTCCTATCCAGCGTAAAGCTTGAGGCTAATGTATATTGCGATCAAGACTCTCGGAAGTGTGCAAAATTTCTCCGCCATCCCACAACCGCAGTCGGCACTGAAACGCGCAAGCTCTATCGGATTCCAAAACCCCCAGTTCAGCTCTCAGAACCACCGAACTTCCTTGATGGGCTCCACTGGTCGCCCGCAGCAGCCCAATTTTACGCGCATGTCAATTGGTGGACCATATGGCGCTGATGCCGGTCTTTCGTCTGTTCGCCGCTCAGTGTCTAGCAACATGTTCACTGGAGCCAGTGCCAGTCGGCAGAGCTACGCGCCAGGGTCTCTTTCCTCGAATCCGGCGCCTCCTCAGAACCCACAGCGCAGAAGCAGTGTATTTTCACGACCGTCAACTGGTGGAGGGCCTATGGGACATCAATCATTCTTCACTCAAGTTCCTACCGTGGCTGGTGTTCCCAGAGACCCGCGCCCTCTCAGAGACCGAGCTTTCCAGGCACGAATTGGCCAGGAACTGTTGGAATATTTGACTATTCATGGGTTCGAGTTGGAGATGAAACATTCCTTGGGGCAGAATACTCTTCGCTCACCAACCCAAAAGGATTTCAACTTTATCTTCCAGTGGCTCTACCATCGGATCGATCCAGGATACAAGTTCCAAAAAGCAATGGACTCCGAAGTACCGCCAATCCTGAAACAGCTAAGATACCCGTATGAGAAAGGCATTACGAAGTCACAAATCGCAGCCGTTGGTGGCCAGAACTGGTCAACATTCCTCGGAATGCTACATTGGTTGATGCAATTGGCACAGATGATGGATCGCTATCAATCTGGCGAGTATGATGATGCCTGCGCTGAGGCGGGTGTCGATGTCACCGGTGATCGCATTATTTTCCGCTTCCTCACTCAAGCTTATCATGATTGGCTACAGGGTGGTGAAGATGAAGACGATGACACCGCGGAGAAGCGGTTGATTCCGCACGTTGAAAGCATGTCGCGAGAATTCGCCCATGGCAACGAGCGGTACGTACAGGAAATGGAGGCACTAGAGGTGGAAAATCAGGCACTTCGTGACCAAATCGAGGAAGTGGAGAAGAGTGCTCCTGACATCGCCAAGTTGGATAAACATTTCCGTATCTTGGAGGATGATAAGAGAAAATTTGAGGATTATAACCAGAACGTCAAGGGCAAAATTGAAAAATACGAGACTCGCATCAAATTCCTTGACGCGGAGATCCAAAAAACCGATGCCGATCTCCAGGCCACTGAATCTGAGCGTTCCGATCTCCAGGCAAGTGTTGATCGTCAAGGCATCACTATCCAGGATATCGACCGCATGAACTCCGAGCGCGAACGTCTGCAGAAGAATCTCGAGGATACCGTGGCTCGCCTAGAAGAGGCCCATGCCCGTGTTATGGAGAAGGAAGCGGAAGCCAGCCAGAAACTGGAAGATCTGGAACAGATCGTGAAAGCTTACAATACTCTTGGCTACCAAACTAGCTTGATTCCTGCAGCTGCCGAGAACGCCAAGGGCCAAGACTATGAGCTTAGGCTGAATATTAATGAGAGCAATTTCTCCGCGAGCCAGATTGGTGGTCCTCCTAACCGAATTTCTCCGGAGGGGGACCGCCTACTGGCGGAGCCTTTCACTGGCTACCACCCGGCTCATTTGCTCAGTTTGGATCTACGGGGCTCAGTCCGAAACAGCCTGCAGGCACTCCGAAAAGAGATCAACGAACGACGGAAGCAAGGGATCGATGACGACCTTGACCGTCGCAATCTACTCGATAACATCAAAGAGGCAATGGACGAGAAACGAAGCGAGGTCGAGGCCCTAGAGCACCGACGCCGGGCAGCAGAAGAAGAGTTTGAACGAACAAAGGAAATAACGACTACTCAGAAGCTGGCCTCCGATGCCCAAATTGAGAAGATGGAGAAAGAGTTGGCGAAGATGCGCGCTACGCTCAGTGACAGTGTACAGTTGATGGAGCAGCGCGAGATGAACACCAATATCGAATATGAACAACTGACGCTTCGGGCAAATGCTCTCCGAGAGGAGTTGCACACTAACGTCGAAACAATGCTTAACGATGTGATTCGCTTCAAAGTACATGTTCAAAAAGGTCTTGAGGACTACGAGAGCTTTGTTGTCGACGAGGTGGAACAAGAGCTTGGAGGCGAAGAGGTTCTCGAAGAGGAGCTTTAAAGTTAGTCTTGTCACGATTTGACGATTTGTTCCATTTCATTGTGTTGGTTTCATGTACAATACCCCCCCGGATCAGTTCAGGCTTTTGGCGAGAAGGACGCGCAATGCACATATTGTTTCATATTTTATAATCTATTACATTTAATAATGGTAGAATCAATAACGCTATATATCACCATCTTTATGCGAGTAGCTTCGTGAAATTAGTTCAGGCCAAAATCATGTATAATTATTGGTAGATCTCGCGAGAATCATTCATATGCAGCATTCATTGACTGTGTGCGACTTATCTCGCTCTGTTGCGAGAACGGCAAAGGAACAGTGAAACTGGTTAAGCATCGAGCCTACATAGGCATACAATGATCAATTCCGTTTACTTGATGATATTGATAGGTCTGGTCATGGAGGCACTGAGCAACAGATGGTTTAATAGGTAGCTACCTACTTGATACCAGCAGGGAAGGCCTAGGGGCTATGAGAGCAAGAAGAATTTGCTAGTGGCCGAGCTCCTAACTCCAGAACTGCGTATGGCCTCTCGGTCCATGAATGGTCCCGCCGATCCTCTCGTTTGTGAGGTGACGGAATCGACATCCACATCCACTCTACACCATCGGTCGGTTCGTTGGTCACTGTGCAAAAGAAATTTGCTTCCAAGATTAGAATACTTGATTGTCAATCTCTATCTTTCTCTGGCATTTGATCTTGAAACTTGACACGGTTTTCGTGTGGCTCTCCCCGATTTTCCTGCCGAGCAGCCTCGGGTTTTTAACATGTTTCCTGATACCCGTATAACATCGAGGGCTGCACGCTGGTAAGCCAAAACCACGTACCTATCTCCAGTTAGGACTAGATAACGAGTCTCACTAAAAATCTTGGACTGAAATGCCTTCCTGCCATACAACATGGTGCAAGTACTAGTATGTGCAGAAACTGGTGATGCAGCCTTCAAACTGCGTTCAAGGTGCTAACCACGATTCTATGGGGGTTAATCTTATTGACGTATTATAATTATATGGCGATAATACCAAGTTATAGTTAGCGTATAAACCCCGGTCCCGTATTAGCTAGTCACGGAGGATTATGTGGGATTCTTAACATTTCAAGGTGGTATCGAACCGCATAGATATATATATACATCTGGGCGAAGATATATAACCACATACGCACGGAAAAGATAGAGATCATCTTTTAAAAATAAAAAAAATAAAAAAATCTAGTGAATATGTATTCATTGGCCTTTTTACCTTTGTTAGGTTAGAATAATTGTAGCCGAATTAAATCTGGAGAAAAAGAAAATTAAAACATTTTTCCCTTCATGTTCCAGTAAGATATTTCGTTATCAACAAATCAGCCCGGCTAGCTCAATTGGCAGAGCGTGTGACTTTTACGAGATCATCTCAATAAATCACAAGGTTGGGGGTTCGACCCCCCCGTCGGGCAATCAACAGCCCAATTTCTTTTTTTTTCTTTTCTTCATTTCGTTATAGCCCGCTGTTATTAGAGACCGTGTATATTCTGTTGACGTTAAATCCCCCAAAGGTGAAACTCGGTACATTATTTTGTTAGTCCAAACTCCATTTTAACCTGGTAGACCATTGTTTCATTAAGCCATGATGTGGATCACACTGTGTTTCCCGATGCCTGTGCTTTGGACACTTGGGGCGACCGTTGGCTTAGTAACGACCGCAAGATTCTAGACCAACACTTGTTATAATGCTCGAGGGGTTCGCATGCATAGGACTCAAGTTTGCTTATCCACACTCCAGGTTTTCCAGAACACAACCACCCTTAGCCTGGTATACTCTGAATTGTTTCTTTTGTGCATATTTTCCACCATCAACATGGACCTGTATGAAACAACCGCAGAGGATATGGAGTGGAGAGTTTACTTCTCACCCCTGACGAGGAATTGAGCCAAAGTACGGGAATAGTGTGAAAGAGCAGACTCTCTTTGTTTCCCAACCTCGGTTGCCTAGACCACGTTAACTGTAATCAGTTAGACTAGACAAGACCCCAGTGTATGGTAAGGAACAAGACAGTGACAGCACGGCTGCGACCTCCCCTCGATTTGTGTTACTCATCCTATTCAACGCCTCACTGTTTATAGTGCCAAAGATGGCTCCGAAACTATCCCCACAGAAGCGGCAGCTGATTTGTGAGGTGATTGAAAGCAATGTAAAAACCACTGAAAATCCTAGGCCATAGCTTGATGAGATGGTAGGTCTCCTTCGAGAGGAACATCACGTTTACGTGGCCAACTCTACCATTGGCCGGGCTCTGGCAATAGAAGGCCAGTGTGAGAAGACAACATAAAATCAAGCGAAAGAGCGAAAAGCAGATCTACGAGACTACTATCTCTATAACCTATCGAAGTTCAAGTCATATCATCTGGTCTATATAGACGAATCTGGATGTGATAAGCGAATAGGGTATCGGCGAAGGGCCTCGCTTAGGGTCGCCCCCATCATTATTGATTGACTACTATGTGGCAGTGCCTGTCTTATCGCGTCGTCGGAGATGGCAAGTTTGATCGGCTTCTTGTGCCCCGCCTTGTAGGCTGCTGGTTGGTTCTGCCCTCGACCTTATGCATAGATCCGAAAGAACGGATGCGTCTAGCGAGCAGGGAGTTCACGACAGCACTTGGTACCGTAGGATGCCAGCCGCGGTGATCACCGCATGGCTTATCTCATTCAATCAGATTCAGGGCTCTGATCCCTCTGCTGCTGATCTGCTGGGATTTATATCCTACCTTAAGCCAAAGGCAATCCCGCGATCTGCTCTCCCTCCCTTGATTCGGAAGAAGAGGTGGAGTTTGCAATTAGTACACCGTGTGGCTATGGATTTCTGACCAGGAGAGACAACGAGGGTATGTTTGATATACATAGCCTCGTGCAGCTATTAACACGAATGTGGATAGCAGAGGCAGGGAAGACACAGCAGATCATCGGGACTGTGATACAACATATAGATAAGTGTTTTTCATTTATTGAATACACAAATCGTGAGACATGGAGGATGTATCTACCACACGGTCTCACGATTCTTATGAGAGAGGAAAGTGAATGTGTATGGGAGAGGTATAGTTTACTTTCTAAGGTTGGAAATTGCATTCTAGCGGATGGCCCAGCAAAAGACGCCATCTCTGGGTTTGGAGATGTGTGCATATGAAATGAAAGCCACAATGATGAAAAAACATCCCTCTCTACTAGCGTCTCAACATGAACTCGCACGGCACATAAAGCCAACGGACAGATCAAGCAGGCCGTGTAGCTACTTGAGCATGTGGTTGCAGTGCAGGAGGGGACGCTTGATGCAGCACATCCTGATCGACTGGTGTCTCAGTGCCCATTCAAGACGTAAAACAGTCGATCAAAGTTAAGATCATGAACAACATGGTTTCATCTCGCCCTGATATTCGGGCTTAGTCGAACTGCTCTACCTCCGATAAATCTGCAGCCCACCAAACAGTATCAATGTCGTGCTTATGATGTATGCCTCATGACGGCATCCAAAGGAAAGTAAATCAAGGTAGTCTGTAGAGTAAACCCGAAACGAACATCATTACGGCTCGTGACAATATTATGTAATATACAGAAGCAGGGATAACTAGGTCAAGGGCGCGGGTAAGCCATCTTGGCATTTTGGGGGGGACGCAGGGCAATTTTGCAAGCTAATATAAAGGAAACCCCCAATAGTATACAGCCTTAGTGATTTTTATCTCTTTATGTTTCCACTAGATTTTTAAGTTGGAAATGTAATCCTACCCTGTACATAGACTATATAACTAGGTAGGTGTGGCTAACTTGCCCAATTTCATTGGCGTATAAGCTTTGACCGCAAGCCACCAGTATATAGCATTCGAAAGTGGCTTAATTAAGACTTTGGCAAGATCTCAATGTCAGTTTATCGAAGGATTGAGGCGTTGCCCCCACAGTAGTTTGCCATAGAGTGTTCTATAAAAAGGCATTATACTTGTTCTAGACACCCAACATGTTTAATTACGCCACACGAAAAATTCTACCATGAAATAAAGTGGAAAGTCGATTCCACTTAGATTCTTTAATTTATCTTATACAATAATATTGTTGCATGTAGGTACTCCGTGCTCCGATTCTAAATGTTCCGTGCTTGGCGTGGTATGCCGTCTTCAGGGCTCCGCCAATCCCCGTTTAGGACACACCTCCATCAAATGCCAAAGTGATCGACAGCGAATGTGTAAACCAGGTGGAGAACTATAATTCGCCCGTTTTATCCGTCTTTCTTGTCTGAAACAACTTGCTCCGCACAATATACGGCGAGTCCGTCGGCCATTTGGATGTACTAAACGTTCCTGGCTCCACTGCAATATGCCATACTCCGGGTGATAGGGCTATTTTCCCATCCATGAAGATCGTTCCTGCTTAGAATCCTTTCACCACGGGAAGGGAATTGGCCCCCCTGCAGATCCAATTCCTCTCATGGAATACATTGGTGCTTTGACGGTCTTTTGACGGTCTTTTTCACGGCTCGATCCATCATTTTGATTTTCGATGAAACCCAACGGGTATATAACCAGCTAGAACTTCATTTTTCTGACGTTTTTTTTTTTTCAACCAGCAGTGCTGTGCACCTTCATTCTTTTCTAAAGCTCCAGATCTTTCTTTACATCGCTACCTCTACCATCCATTCATTTCCCTCTTTTAAGTGTCCAACAACTCAACAATTCATCATGAAGTTCACTGCTGCCATTGGCGTTGCTGCCCTATCCATGGCCCCGTCGGCTGTGGCCTGGAAGCTGCCTGTGAGTATCTACACTATACATTCTTAGATAGTTCTCGTTCTTTGCTGACATTGTCTCGCAAGCATGTCGGCAAGGCTGCTGTCGTTGCCAGTTCTTCTAGCGGTTTCCCATCTGGAACCCCATCTGGAACCCCATCTGGGACCCCATCTGGGACCCCATCTGTAACTCCCTCTGCAACTCCCTCTGCAACCCCAACTGGATGGCCCACTGAATTGCCCTTCATCCCTGGAGGTCCTGAACATGAAGTTCCTGGCCACGAAGGGCCCGGTCATGGAGGACATGGCCACGAAGGACACGGCCATGGCGAACATCGTCACGGACCTGGCCACAAGGAACCCGGTCTGGGAGGAAATGGTCGCCGCCATGGATTCAAGTTCATCAACTCCCTCAGCAGCACCCCCACCGGCACCCCCACCGGCACCCCCACCGGTACTCCTACCAGAACCCCCACCAGAACCCCTACCAGAACCCCTACCAGCACCCCTACTGGATACCCCTCGAGTACCGGTGCCCCTCCTGGATTCCCCGATGGCTTCTCCGGTAGCCAGACTAGCGGTCCGTTCACCATTCTGCCTATCGCTGCCGAGCCTGATGCCGCTGGTGAGCCCGGAGACTTCGCCCGTCTTCATGCCCGTCAGATGTTGTTTTAGATTCTGCACTTCGCAGCTTCGCTCGGTGTACCATGTGAGATAGACCAGTACTGCCTTTATTTTCAGCGGCTGCTGGATCAGCTATAACGAAGACTTTGCTATTTTATAGTCTTTTTCCGAGTGCCATGAAGTAGTGAATCTGTAAATTTGTGCACACGTAGTATAACAGTAGTAATATTAGAGAAACACAAGGCACGGCCATGTCACAGAATTCTGGCAACGGGTCTTATATGTAGGTGTCAGGGCAGAGACATAGTATCGTCAGTCCATCATACATCGCAAATTCTGTTTTGTATTGGGATATATGTACCCTCTACTTTGCATCTAAAGCTACAGTACAGATGAAGTTCAAGACACTGATCGAAAAGCTCCACCTACATTCTAAGATCAAATTTAAATATATGATATAGAGGAAAAACACTACATGTGAACCTTGCATGTAAAGGTTCATAAATTCTCTGGTGTACAAATATACAGCATAGAAACTATACAAAACATATATGGGTATCGGAGATGGACTATATAGTCGGAGATTCTTTACCTTATGAAATAGAGGCAGTTTGCCCATTTGCGGTCTAAGTATTCATTGTCAAGTCTTTAATGTCCATTGATATAGGGGCTGAATATTTCATGCTATTACTATGATGCATGTAATGCTACTTAAAAAAAACACCATAACTACTATTCATATCTTGAGTACAAGAACTGATCGGAACTTATCCATGAAAGCTCGTCGGCTCAGTCAGGATCTCTCCTGCCCTCGAGCGTTTGATGTAAACAACATAAACGGGGTACATCTGCGTCGCGCGCATAGAGCCATCTAGCACCCCTCTTTCGTGAATCGCATTGAACGCCACGGGCTGAAGGATGTCTTGCACTAGCTGAGCCACCTCAACACTGCCTGCCTGTAGCTGCGCCGGGCTCGAGCTCAGGGAATCATTCCGCTACGGATTCGTGTCTCAACATCATCGAGGAATCTGTCGGCTGTCTCGCCATCTCCAACGTGAAGTGTGACTCTGCTAATCTTCTTGCGTGCCTGCGCTGTGGCTCCGCCGTGGCGGAAGGTGGTGACGGAAGATGGGGGTGTGAGGCTGAAGCGTTCGATGGTGCCGTTCTCGGGTAGGTGGCGAAGAACATGGATTGTGGCACCAAACTTGCCAATAACAAGGAGCACAGAGGGAGCGGTGGAGGGGGTGAATGTGTATGATTACGTGACACTAGTTAATGTGATAACCTGAAAAGTCTGCTCCCGTGGACTGCATACTTTTTTTGGTGTAAGGGGTACTCCATATGTGCTTCCTAGATAGGCAATTTTTGGCCACAGAGTCTGTTAGAATGCGCGCCATGTGTAGTAAAGTGAAGTAGATAAAGGCTAGATGCTGATGGTAATGGATATCTAGGCGTTCTAAGTCACGAGTTGATTCCTCAGTGCTTAGGCATATACTACATGGTCCAGGGCTCACTAAGCAGGCAATGTACCGTCCATATATATATATATATACCATTCAATAACAATATCTCAGGAAATCCCCCGACAATATAGACCTACGTTAGGAAGTATGAGAAACTCCGCATTCTGTGGCCTCCGATTGGCTTATAGCTCTGTGCTGACTCAGCAGTTCCTGATCTCCAAAATTCTCGAAACAACATTTACCTCATCTCGTTCACCTTTGGTCTTCATTTGCCCCGGTTGGTATGGGGTTCAATTGAATCTGCTTATTACGCCATGTACCTGTGAAATCGACATGTATCACGCCAATCCCGTACCCATCGAGATCGCGAAACCTATACACCCGCCTTCGAGCCTCGTTGCGATACCATGAGCAGGTGCTTGCGCTCCGGCCGTATCCTGCCATTCGGTCGCAGGCCTGCTTCGCGCCTCCCTTTTCTCCCATATCGATCCGTCTCTCCTTTCTCCCGGCCGACTTGGACTCAATTTACCCGGAAAACTCGCAATGATCAAAGAGAGATTAATTTCCCAGATGAAGTTCTTTTTCTACGCCGATACAATTTAATCAAACACCCTCGCCTCAGGCATGACCAGAAGAGGCATATTGAGGAATGGATGCCAGTATTGAGGGGCTGTATTCCACCAACAAATGCCAGACAACCAGACGTTGCCCAATCTGCAGGCCAGCCCAGGCTTCGACCGCTTCGCGAATCTGAACGTCAACTTGATCGGACCCACGCTCTACTAGGGTGTCTATGGGATGGAAGGGTTCATTTTGAATTTCAACTTCTTGCGCATCTCGGATTTGCGCACCATGAGTGGTCTAATGTACAGGCTCTTTTAAACGGCATGATCGACACCTATGAGCTGCTAGCTGCTCATATGCCCCCTAAACACCCTTCGGCTGGGCTTGATTGGAACAGACCATATCGCGTGCGCCGCATAGATGAGTCAACATCCGACCCTGTGTCTCCCCTCACCACGGAGATCTCCCTCAGCAAGCTCACGGGAGGCACAAAACCATCATCCCCTTGGAAATGGTCTCGGCTACAACCTCTTCCATCAGATAGCATTTCTCTTGATACTCTAACGGTGGAACCTGCACCAAGATTCTTTGGAGAGAGAATTTTGGCTGAAGTACTCGCAAACCTCGGCTCCCTGGTTTTGTATGCCTCACGCAGTCGATCAGATGATTCAAAGCATGCAATGACCTGTGTATTCCGAACTCTTGCTCGTTTACACCATGCGGGCATGATATCTGACAGAGTTTATCAATATCCGAAACCAGATGCCAGCCAGATTGTGTTCCGCCCGCCAGGGCTGCATTTTTTGTCCAGTTCCATCATGAGCGTTTTGTCCGACGCGGCGTGGCATGAACACGAAGTAGCAGTGGCCGCTGCGGCCGCTGATGCGGGAGAGCTGTCACCTTTCATTCCTTACACACCGCGAATTCGAGAGCTGGGTCCCGAGATCTGGCTTGAGCTCATTCTGTGGTGTTGTGTGGAGCATGGGTTTTGCAAAACAGGCACACTCCTCGTGCATCAAATGACCCGGCTTAGCGAATGGAAGGCTGAGAGTTGGGCACCTTTAATCAGTGACCTTGATACAGTACAAAAAACTAACATCAGTATCGAGCAATCATGGCGTCGGCCAGGCCAAGGCAAGACCCCCCAACACTCAAGGGTCAGGAAAAAGCACCATTCAATGGACTTGGGTTCCGAACTATCAGCTCTGAGGTAGTTGCATCGCTGCGGAGTGGCTTGGCGAACAAGGCCTATGTCGGAATGGGAGATCGTGGATACCTTCCTGCGGATCTCACCAATTTATCAGCCCCTCTGACTAACCTGATCGACCCTCCCGCGCCTAGTCGTGAGGAGCTTCGGCCAACCAGCAGGTTCACCAACTGGCACATTGTACGGATATTGGCCTCGGGCTGTTTGAAACCGTCCACTGATCCTGTTTCTTTCGAGGATCTCCTGAGATCTCAGAGCAATGTTGTTCCTCCGTGGGAAGGGGACGAGTTAAGCCTGGCACAAGTGTTGGATGGAAAAACGCGGGCGCAGTTCTACGATGAATCAGCCGCCATGACTGGCTTGATCGAATTCAATCTCAATTATTATGCTCGGGACAAGCAAAGCGGACGCCTTTTCCACGAGTATGCTTGGCTTCAAAATATAGCCGATGCGAGCAAGGCACAGCACATCCAAAAGTTCTTCGAACGGATGAGCCAAGCCAGCGATGAAGAAGCTTCTTCGTTGTTTGATTTCAAATCTTTCGAACCTCAAGATATCTCTCAATCGTCTATCCCGCAGCTGTCGTGCGCCACTTTTGCCAATCTCCTTGACGTGGCAACTACAACCCACGCGTTTGATTTTGGTGAACAACTACTTTTGGAAAATGACATCGATGGTCCTGCCATCCCTCAAACCGCATATAAAAACCAGGCCCTGGCGCCGTCTATTCTGCGATTTGCAGCTGCCACTGGTAATACCGAGCTTGGCGAGCGTGTCATTGCATCGCTCGGGATTCCACTTTCTGTGAACACCATTAAATCGTTGATTAACTTCAGCATCGCACGCAAAGATTGGAAGCGTGTGGTATTGATGCTCAACTTTCTGACCGAGCACCGAGCTAAATCCTGGGGCTACATGAATATCGGCGTACTGGCAAGTGCAGTAATTCGGCTCGATGCCACCGTTAAGCATAAGAAATCTGCCGGCACCTTGACTGAGACAGATACAAATGACCTGAATCAAGCCAAGGACATCTTGCTCCGCCTTTTCCGCGGCGAGTGGCATGCTAATCATACCCGTGAGAAAGTCAGGAACTTCCAGCTTCGAACTCTCTCTCGTATGCACCGCGTGCTCTCTGTCATCCCAGGTCCTCTGCCGGACCTCCTCAAACAAGTAGAGCCACCCAAGGAAATCACCGGTCACCACAAGGCCACTTTGATCCCCCCAACCACCTTCCACGAGATCTTCGCTGCCGTCGTGGAAACACAGGGCGCTATCGTCGGCAAGCAGCTTTGGGATAAAGTCTGCGTCGACTGGGTATCTCCCAAACGCCAGCTCCAATCTCCAGGCGGTGTTGCCCGGCTGCTGTTCAGCGACGAACGGACCAATTCACACGGTGCCCCAGGATGGGACGCAGATTACGTCAACCATGTCCGAAGCAAAGCCACAATAGCAGACCTCAACACGGTCCGCATCCTCGCACGAAGTGCCGTCCGAGAATACGCAGAATGCGTGAAAGAAACCACGGACAAAAAGTCTGGCCACAATCCCAGTCCCAGTATACCCCAACCGAAGACCACCGACCCTCACAACACCTCTTCCTCCTCTTTCGTCTACGACCCCACCATCCGATACACACCCTCCCTCTCCCGTAAGGAATACCCCTACCAGTTAAAGGACGGCAAGATGCCCCAAACAGAGCTTGAGTCCATCCTAGACTACTGTCTCGAGACCTTCCTCAAATTCGGTCTTCCAGAAGACCAGGTCGACATCGAGATCCCGGGTCACATGCGTCGCATGCAGCTCAGAAAGGTCTTTTCTTCCCCCACGCGCAGGCCTGTCAGACAACGGATCAAGTACAACAGATCTGATCCTTTCATGAGATCCCACTGGCCGAAGGAATTGGCAGAGTCTTTGCCAAAGCCGGAGGAGCCAGAGCCAAAGTGGCCTTATGATAACCACAGGAACTAGGAAGTGGGATGGACTTGTTTTTCCCTCGGTTTGGTCATATGTATTTTTATCTTCAAAGTAAAAACTATTCTCGAATGTATATACTATTTTTTTTCCTACTTGATGGTTCAATGAAGGCTGTGTAATTGAGACAAGACAGTTATGCGGACTAGATATTCATTCTACAACTAATTGCACTCAAGAGGAATACGTTGGAAAAAAAAAGTTGAATCAATTTGATATCAAAAGTCCTAGTTAGTGTTGAATCATTTCAACACCAACAGACATCCCAGCGCCAACTAAAAACCAATCCCAACCCCCCAAAGCCCCTGTTGTGAATTCAGCCCTCGACTGAAGCACAGCCCAGACCCTTCAAAACTCCTTTCAGTACCAGAATCAATCATGGATCTGAATTATCCCACGCGTTTGTTTTTGGTCGTTTCTGGATATCACCTGGATATCAATTTCAAGGCACTCGGGTATTGATATACCATTATAAACATATTGTGATGCAAAGAGAGATAGTAGATCAAAGGGTAAGAAATTCGTGAATTGGAGAGAAATGAGAAATGAGCATCAAACGCATTAAGCTGAGATGGACAATAGTAAAACATGGGTAATAAAAAGAACGAGAAATAAAAGGATAGGGATAGGGATATGAATAGGTGTACTGCTGGGGGTAGGTGGTTGCATATAGGGAGATGGGAATGATGGTCGCGCAATAAATGGGCAAGTCAGCTGAAAAGAACAGGATGATGATAACGAACTCGCATGCTCTTTTCGTGTACTTGCATGCTGTTTTGTGGTTTCATAAAAAAGACATTCATAGATATGGGAGATCATTGTATTTAAAATTCCCAGTTCTCATTCTCATTGGATTGAGGAAAGAAAGAGCGCATAAACTCCCCAGAGATAGGATCATAAGGGAAGTACGAGGTCAGGGTATTGGGCGTCAAGGCTTCGGCCAGGTCTGCGGACAAGATGTTCGGGTAGGTGTGGTGATCTACACCGGGTGGTGCATCCGGGACAGGCAGCGGGGAGTTTTCCAGCTGCGGGCCCCAGTAGTCGCCGGCGGCATGAGATAGGCCAGACGGTGGATCCGAGCCGATAGTGGTTGTAGGCTCTGGGGTGTATGGGTAGGAAGGCATGTCGCTGAGGTCGTACTTCATGCCCTGGGCGAGTTTTCGGAGACTGAGGTCGCAGAGTTGCCAGGCGCGTCGGGAGGCAATACTCTGCTCGGACATTGCGAAGAGCCAGCGGATTGCTTTCTTAGACTGGACGACGAAGTTCTTTTCTTCTTCTGGCATGTGGACGGTGCCGAAGGACAGCTCGAGGAGGAGAACGGTCGCTGCTTGCATGAGATAGTGGAGGATGCACCACCATGGAGCAATTCGGTACAGCTGGAGAGCATCTGGCTCATCTGGAATCAGATCCAGCATGTGTCGTGCAGACTTTAGGGTCAACACTGCCATTTCGTGGCTGAAGGAGGGCTTGTTGTTCTTTTGGCGCGCGTCACGTCGGCAGAGACAGGGACGGCCTAGTGTGATCTGCGCACTGTAGTAATGCAGCGCCAAGTTCAGCTTGCAGCGAAGGATATCCGGTCCATTATCTTCCTTGCATGTGAAGTCAAGCCCGGTTGGAAGGTTGGATTTCCATATCTCGGTTCGGGACTTGAGTTCACCAATCCGGGCTTCGATTTGTGCCCATGGCACCATCACGCAGTCCATTGAATAGACTTTGTTGATGATTTCTTGCACGACGACTGTCAAGTCGCAATAGTAGAGATAAGAGAGCCCGTAGTTGACAGGCAAGCTTTTGATCCACTTGGTGTCTCGTACCCTAGAGTGTCGAGCGGCATCCTTACCATTTATTGGGTGCAGCGGCATTTGTCTGATACGTGCACTTGCCATGACGTTGTTGATTCGTTCATCTCGTACGGTTGTGTCTGTGAGTACTTCGATGGCACCGGGATCATGTAGCTGTTCTTCTTCAAATGGAATCGGGAAAGGCGCGGTGCACACTCCATCCTGGATACTAGTCGCCCGGCCAGTCATTACTCCGAGCATGTGTTCAAATGTATACAGACACCACCAGACTCGGTAACGAGCTTCTTTCGAAAGATCGGGTGTGGTTGGACTGGTGCTTTTCATGTTGATTCCAAGTGTGATTGCAGACCGCACTGCCAAAGCTGAGATTCTCCACGCCCTATGTTAAGTGTTATGGCTCGCTCAACTCAAATTATATAAGGAGAATCTCACCTGTTAATTTGATCAGAAGCGAGAAGGTAGAAGGCAACCAAGGCCTCCACCTGGACTTGCTGGAGATCGGGATGGCTGAACAGGACATCGCCGTTCATACTAAGAATCCTGGCTCTGGTCAGATATACCAAGTGGTCCTTCTCGTCCACGCTCCATGGTGCGTCGATGAGATGGCCATGTTTAGCCCCAATTGCGAATATCATGTTCAATATGGCAAGCCACTTGTCGCCAGGTCGAGCAGTGCTGTCAAAGAATGTCCGATACTGTGCCGAGAAAAGAGGTTTGTTGATGATGGGGAAGAACGGATGCACAGTAGTCAAATAAGCCTCAAACATATGATCCGCCACCTCTCGAGGAGGCATGGCATACAGTTGTACCGGTCCGGGGACAGATATATCTAAGTCATCAAGATGATAATTGACCGCATGCATAGCTAATGCATCATCGGTCTTCAAATCTTGGCCAGGCTCCAGACTCCCCGGAAGACCTCTGGAACGTTGGTCTGCCTCTCTCTGCAGCCGTTGCATCCATGTAATTTCCGAGTTTTTCCCCATATAACCAGTTGCTCTGGCATTTTCTGATCGATTGATGTCCTCTTCTACTCGATCAATGGCCTCGAGAGACCCAATAGACGAAGGCGAGGACGGTTCATCGTTTATCGGAAGGTCATCCTGAGGGGTTGCTGATTGAGACTGAGAATTATGCGACGAATAATCCACTTCCGGCCCATGCTGTAGTTGCGAGCGTTAGCGATACCCCGGTATCCCGAGAAGAAGAAACAAACCTTGTCCAGCAAGCTCCTGATCCGCTCCGCGGCACTCAAATCAACAACATTCGCTAAATCCTTCAGCAGATTTTCATATTCTTGCGCTCTCTCCGAGAGATTTTCAACTTCTCTATGATGCACAAACGGTCAGCATGCTTGCTCGCAATCGAATTTTGTTTCCAAGATATGCATGTATAGCCACAAAAGCACCTACTTTTTTGTCCGCTCCCTCCAACCCTCGGGGTAGCTGCACGTAGCTCTCAGCTCACGACACTGGCGACAGACCGGAGTATCGCCACTGCATTTCGTCTTGCGCTGCCTGCAGGATGAACAAGCACGAGGCACTCGTCGATTATAGCGCGGCGCAGTCGCGACCCTTTGTCGAGGAATGGCAACTTTAGTGTGTGCGGCAAGTGTCCTTGGCAGAGTCGACGCTGTATTGGCTCTTTTGGCGCCTATGTTTGACACTGTGTCTGGAACAGAAAGAGGGAATGCGGCGGGGTTGAGGTCTGCCGGTTGTTGGGTGGACGCTTCATGCTGAGGAATACTACCATCATAGTTCGGCTGCCTAGGCGCTTCTTCGATCGTCATGGTGGCAGAAGTCCTATGTAAATTAACGAGAGTTTGTTTGGTGAGTTTCAATCTCAAGATTGCGTTCCGACCCTATGTATAAAGCTGCGACGAATGATAGGGCCGAATTTGTATATTGGCGAGAAATGATTGTATGTACAAGGGAGGTTTGAGGCCATTGATAGCACGAGTTTGTATCTCGGAAGTGAAAACACTGTAGTAACCAAAGAATGAAGCCGCGGGGTGGCGGACTATGCGTAATCGGTGGGTCCGATAAGCCACCCTTTCCGATTAGTCAGGCGCAGTTTTAAGGTTTGATGTTTATAAAAAAAAAAAAACATGAAGATGAAATAGATATAAAAGATGAGAAAGATGAATTTATGGGAAGAATCGCTAGTTATTTTGACACTTTTGGGTAAAGCCATTCCTCCAGCCGTGAATATCCTCCCAATCTACCCATCCAGGGTAAGTAAACCAAAACATATGTATATATACAAGGAAAATAGGCATTAGCGAAAAAAAGGGTAAAAGGGTGCGCCAAAAAGACAATGAACATGTACAAGCGAGGTAAATAGAGGTAAAAGAGACTATGGGTCACAGCCCAGCGAAGAGTGGAGAGACGGAGAAGAGAGCAAACATGAACCGAGAGAAGTGGACTCGGTAGTCGAGGATAGTTTAGAATTCGCCAAACATCTCATCGAGCTCATCGACTTCCACCATCTCCGGGTTTTGCAACTCTCTCCAGGATTCGAAGACGGGCTCCGAGTTCATGGAGATAGCGCGAGGGGTAAGGGTGAGCCTCTCGTGCGACTCCGTCAGGTCCGACATCTTCAGATCAACGTCCGGAAGGCCGCTGTTCAACATATCAAGCGAGCGCTTGAGGGTTGAAACGGGTGGGGCATTGGGATCTTCGGGCAGGCTGATCTGGGGGGCAACGAGCTCCTCACCGTCCACACCGAGATCTGTCAAAGCGCTCGTGCCAGACGAGACAGACGATGCGATGGAGGTGAGGGAGGGTGAGGGGGAGGTGCCGAACAGGGCAGTCGCAGCAGCCTCGTCCAGATCGTGAGCCATTTGGTCGACGGGCATGTGGGAGAAGTAGTCACTATACTCTTCTTCAGACATGCCGTCACCGTGCAGAGAGGGAGTCATTGAACTGCCATTCACAGGCGATTCAGAGATGCGCATATCACGGTCCTCCGAGGCACTCAGGCTCTCGGAAAGGATGGACTGGCTACGGCTCGACTCGGCTTTTTCCTCAGATGCACGCTCACGCACAGCGCTAGCAGTTTGTGTGAATTCCTTCTCATCGCCCTCCAGGGGCGGAGAAGCCGCACGGTGCGAGTTCATAAGACGCGTCAAATTACTAGCATTGGGGAAGTGCTCAGAAGAACTGTGGCTAGCAGAGGTATTCAAATCGCCATGCTCCTCGAAGTCGGGAGAAGACAAGTCCACTTCGGGACTAGGGCTACGTTCACGCACCATCGCGTCTTCCTCATCCTCGAGACTGGACACACTGGGCGTGATGTGCTTGCTACCCACGGCAGATACCAGATCATCGGTCTCGGGAATGGGCTGATGGGGAAACGTAGTAAGATAGTAGTACACTTTGCGTGGGTGAATTAAAATAAGCTCCTTGGCGATAGGGCACGGCGCGAGAGCCGTCCAAGGACGCTTCATATAGGCTGCTAAACGCGATGAAAGCAACGCGGCGGGATTGGCGGAACTAAAACAGGGGATGTTAGTGATTGTGTTTTTCCAAGACAGCCTCGGTGGGATACGTACTTTGCAACATTGACATTTACTGTGACCAGGACTGCGGCGAGTTCTTTCACGAGATGAGGGCGATTCCCAGTCTTCTCCAGTTGGTTGATTACCGCGATCACAATGTCGTCGTTAATTCCTTCTGTGTCAATCTTGGGTGCCAGCACTCCATCCATAGGTGAGGGAGGTGGTGTAATCTCCAATAGTCCATGTCGGCCCGCGCGCGCGATTGTTTTGGGGTCGGAGGGCTCGGGCGATAATGAAGAACCGTGCGATCTCTTGACTTTTTTTGTGGGTTGCTCATCGGTGTGCACTTTTGAGATAGAAGGAGAACGACGAGTGGAATTTGGGAGCTGAATGCCCAAGGATGGAAGGGATAGTGACTTGCGACGAGTGTTGTACGGCATTGCGAGGAAACGAGAAAAATAACAAGAGACGAGAATAATCAAAGGAGACAAAGGCGAGGATATAATAGAAACGAATATAATAACAAACGAGATAATAAGAAGAATAATAATAATAAAAAAACGATTCTAAGATATGGGGGAAATGTTAGTAGAAAGGGGGATGAGAAGGATAAACGGGGGGGGGATCATCAAGATGCGACAGGAAGAGCTGTTTGGATGGCAAATTATCAACGGGGGCCTGAGGAATCTGCGGAAAAAAAGTGAAAAATTGGAAAAAGAAATAAAAAGAAGTGGGTAAATTACAGTATGGTAATTTATGTCTTTAAATTTGGCCTCCCGAATTACATAAGTGTGACTGTGATTGGTTGGGCTGGGGCTTGTTTTTATTTTTCCTTTAAAGAATGTGGGAAGCCTATCTCTGGCACATATGTACTCTGTACGGGCTACTTATAAAACCACCATACCCTGTACTTACAAAGTACTTGAGGAGAATCTCTTAATATACTATAGGTTGCTTCTCACCGCCACGTTGAAGAATCCATGCGACATGCGACAGCAAAAATCGAACCGAGTAAATCAGGTGGGTCAATCCATTCCTCTTCAGGGCTTAGTCTGATAATCCATAGTTCTTCCATTCTCTCTTGGGTACTAGCGCATTTCTATATACCGAAACAAGAGGTTGGGTGGGGTCGGCCATGTGTTCTATGACCCGACTTCCAATTTTGGTGCTCCATCTCACCTTGGCGTCTCCATATATCAAGTGATTACTGCAGAGGCACATCCGATTCCGCTAATCGCAAATTCTAAGAGTAATAAGACCTACCATTGGATTGATTGGTCGGAATATCGAATTTGACCTCGGAGCCTTACTGCATGGGATATGTAGATTATGTACTCCGTAGAGTAGACTATGTAGATTACAAACTATTCGATCTATCATCTGTTGCTAGGGGACCGGAACACACACCGCTGTTGATGGATCAAAACATATTAACTTATACGGAGTCGAAATTGAACTAAATATGCAAGTCAACTAACTAAGCATAAACCAGTCCAATGGCTTTGGAAGAAGGAAAAGAAAAAAAAACAGACCTTAAGCCGAGCCCTCCGGTCGGAAACACCGAGAGCCACAGCTCCCTAGCGCAACCGTTTACAAGAAAAAGAAAAAAAAAAGATATGAAGCGACCACTTAAAGTCCACCATCCCCACTTATTTAGTGGATCTCAGGGACCCAATCGACGGGATAATCAATCAAAGCCGATGTATCGTATTGTACATGACGCTAGTAAGGGATGCTCACATTAGCGTCTCGGGGAGAAAAGGAACGTTTGCCACCGATGATGCAGAATGAGACACTTGTTTTTTTTTTAGCCTTGAATGTGTACACTTTCGATCTATCGATTATGATGTTTTTAAAAATTGGATATCAGCCAAACTTCGTTACCTCTTAAAAGTATGATGTGATCTAATACCAGGGAAAACAATAATACACATATTATCCTACGTCCGTATGATGACATCCGTCTCCCCCATCGGATCCCATATCCACCCTGACTGTCAGTGATATGATGATGATAGGATATCAGTGTTTATTATTGCCGTAGGTATTGTGTACGTGACTCCTTCGGGACGGCAGCAAGGGATTACATAGTGGGGACGAACATTGCTGGATGTGATGCAGGTACTATGTACGGAGTCTCGAGGGGGAAACATCATTCCTTGAATTAACCCCTGCGATATACAATTGTCGAGCGTCGCATTTATTTCGGCCGATCCCCCGTTTTCATGTCGACCAGTCCAGAGGATACAATCAACCATGGAAACCATCCCATTGTCACCCCGAATGGAACGTCAATTGCTTAGTTCGGGTTTATCTGATCGCATTCGTTGAATTGCGAATACTGTAACTCTACTGTACCTACATTGTACAGTATGCAGGTAGACTGGAATTCTCCGTATGTTACATGTACTTCCCATCTAGCGTACTCCTATTACGAAGTACATACCTAGTCCACAAATTCTTGCATACAATGTATATTGTAGCAAATCAACGATATTATCAACGTTACTAGAAACTTGGAATAGCAACCCCGATATACCAATCTAAACGGAACACATCCAAAGTCTAGATCTACCAATGAAAGCAGGAGTATGCACCTTAACCGATCAATATTCCAAACCTTACCTCAAGCCATCCAACTTCCCCGCCGCATCAAACAAAGAACGGATGACTGACTGCATGACACGGCATAATCCCTGTAACAGATCTGCACCTTGCATATCAATCAATGATGGAGATTGGTAGCAAAACCCGTTTTGAATGCGGGACAAGATCGATATTTATTGCCAGCCAATACCAGAGGAAAAAAAGATTGCCGAGTGGCTAGTGCATATGGTGGATGGCGTTCCATGTACCGGATTCTAGGCCGTAGCGATTATCCCAATCGGGGTAGCCCCGGTTTATGAGGGGCACAGGGCTGGTTCCTCGAGACATATGTTATAGGTACTTGAGTAGTAACCTCGGACACTTCTGATCCTTGGATATATAATTACGTATCGTCTAGCCGACTGGGATCACCAATATCTAGCCAATCTATGGAAACAAGATTAGTTGGCCGTTGACGCCTGGTGACGTCTTTTCAGATATTTTGTTTAGATGTAGGTAAACGACAGAGAGAAAGCGGGAAGAGGCTTAATTTGTGAAAACGACATTTCCTAAAGTCTTGTATGACATGCAGATGGGAGTTCGTTCTAGGCTACTCGGTTATTAGCAAAGCAAGCCAACGGGGTTGGTTGCCTATATCGTCTAAGAAGAGTCCCTATCGATTCCTGTCATTCGATCAAATTATGGCTTCAAATATATGTCTATACTTTTTGAAATACGATAGACGGGAGACATTCCCATGGACGAAAATCACATTGATTATATGATGGCATAACTTATATCACACTAGCCATACTTCCGATCCATTGGCTGAATAATCACCGCATGTATAAATGATCCAGCATTCTTCTCACTACGGGGATCAATTCATCCGTCTGGCATGTACATTTTGCTGTTTCCTGTATTTAAGCTAGGTTAGAAGTTCACAGAGGGAAGCCCCGTTAAGAGACAACTTGCCTTGACATTCTCGGTGTAAACGGTAAGCAGCAAGCAGCTCGAAAGACAGGATATTCTCATAGTATGGTGTTATGCATATGAAGCTTTGGGAGCGGGCTCGACAACGGCGTGTAAATGGTCCAGCATATTGGAATGGCCCACTAAGACACGGAGTTCGGGATCTCGCATGCAAAGAGCTCTGCCAAGCTTATCTTCGCATTTCTGGTAAAGGATGATGTGATGGTCGTCCATTTTGTAGGATGCTACTGATATCACAGATATAGCTAAGATAACTGAGATTATACTGATCTGAAATTATTAAGATACTGCATCTTATGTGAACAGTAGATGCGGCTGAAATTTATGGCGATCAGATGACTTACCCCGCATAGTCTATTCCATGTCTATAAAGAGGGGGGATTTGTTTCGCTCCATCTTTTTCGCCTATAATTAGGTCTAGGCGTCAGAGGGTGGCAACGAGAATTTGAGATCCATATATCATATCTTGCAGTTGGTTCGTGTTGTGGCAGCTGCAAGTGTTGCTGCCTACATATATACTGGTAACAAATCTGTGACATGGACCGAGAAGAGCAGGATATTGGCTTAGTACACTATTCGCTGCCGGTCACTTGGGCCATGAGAATCCAGGAGTTGAATTTCTGGGCAGTTCCATCCAAAAATCATAGTTTGTTATAAAAAGACTCTATCGCACGAATCTAAATCGATCATTTGATACCCTTGAACCTAACCTTCACCATGCCTGAAGAAACCGCCATCGCAGTTGAATTACTAGGAAGCATGGAAACCACTATCAACACGATCGTAAACAACCTTGGAGCCAATAGACTCGACAGGAGGAGCTTCCGAAAATATCTTGGTGATTACGCTGATCGCGCTGCATCCGATGGGCGACTCATCAATGCTTCGAGGCAAGACCTTCGATGTGCCAACCGTGGCTTGCTTCTAGCCTACGCTCATATGGATTTGATATGCTGGCTGGCGAAAAGCAACTATACCGTCTCAGCAACGTCCGTCACATGGTATAGCTGGAGGAAACTGTTCGCGAAATACCGCCTGCCCTTACTTGCCGTTACATCGCAAACGACCCATTTAACACATCACTTGCAGAATATCGGCAAGTTAGCAGATCAGGTATTTTCAGATCTTGATGCCAACGATGTAAAGTCGCTTTTCTCTAAGACTTGTGGCCATAAACTAACATGCAGGAAGATTGCAATCTCGCCAGATTCTATCAAATACCGCAAAGTCCCACTGGGTCAGCCAATTGGTTCTCCACCAGAAGGTGTGTATAGACCTTTTTCTTCTTCTTTTGAATGAAACCCGCTTTCTGAGTTTCTTTTCATGATAGGATCCCATGACCTTATTCATCGGGCCACCCTTGCCCAGAATAAGCTCTCCCAGTGATTAACAAAGTCGGAGAGCTTCACGGTTGACCTTTTAGCGTTGGGGATATCACACAAGAGCGTCGCACTCTTTGAATACTGGATGTATTTTTTTTAACGTGTACTTTAAACTGCCTTTGTGTTGCGTTGAAATATAATAGTTGATTACGCGTATAGGACTGTGATCACACTAGCGCTACAGTACGGTTATGTTAACGGCACTGGAATAGGCCTGACGGTGACAGAATAAAGTGCTCATATGACTCTAAGCTCGACCAAGGAATTGTGTCCAAAATACGTCGACATCCGAAAGCCACAAATCTCATGGCCCGTTCACACCTTACTGGTACTTTCCAAGCTTTTAGAAATCAAAAGGTAATCACAAGACCTAGAGCTCCAGCTACACTAGAAAGATCCATGAAACCATCGCCAGTCCTAACAGGGACCCAACCAGTAGAGACACGGCTTGCGTTAGCACCCGAGGATGAAGGGGAACTTTCATGGTCTGGACACCATCAAGGACACCCCCAGGTGCTTTGCCACACCCAAGCTCCCGCAAAACTCCTTTGCAAGGAGATTGACCCTGGATGAAGTCATATGCCTGCCTTGATCCAATGAATATACATTATCGCGCCCGAAGAGGCTTGGTAATTGTCGGCACTGGCTTCTGCACAGTGATAGAATGCGAGCTGCGCGAAATCAAAGGTAAGGAGTGTGGCATAGGCATATACTAGGGCTACCCCTGGTCCAACATTCATTCACAAATATCAACGCCATCTAGTTCTTCATAGATAGCCCTTTTAACATCCTCCTCAGCCCAACACATATCCACCGCATTCCTCGCCAGCTGCACCATCTCCTTCTGACTAAACCCACAGTAAGTATAAACCTTCTGCAAATTCCCATCAATCCAAACGTCATGCATCAAAGTCGGATCATCACTATTAATACAAATCTTCACCCCCCTCTCCACCAACCTCCGAATCTTCGGGAACAAAACCTCAGTCGCCGTCCTCCGATGATAAGCATGCGGACACAAAGTCAACCCAATCCCCCTATCCACCAACCCCTGCCACAGCTCCTCAGAATCCTCCGCATCCAACCCATGATCAATCCGCTCCGCTCCTTTTCCCCCACAAACCTCAAAAATAGCCTCGGTCACATGTTCCCGCGTATCCTTCTGTCCAAAATCACAGTGCATAGTAACATGTAAGCCATCCGCGCGCGCAAGCGCAAACCCCTCTTCAAAAAGCATCGGCGGTCTCTCGTACGCATTACTCGCTAACCCAACAGCATGGAAAAGACCCTTCCCGCCATCGACTGTTCCAGCAGCCCAAGGTCTCGCCTCGCGGTAAGCATCCAGACCTTGATCGACAGGTTCGTCGCGCAAGAAGCACAGAATCCAGCGCGAATGAACACCGAGCTGGGCGGCGGCATCGTGTTTCGCGCGTAGATAGCCGTCTAGAACGGCGGATGCGGGGACGCCGCGCCGTGTGTGCGCCTGGATGTCGAAGAAGGGTTCGGTGTAGCGCACGTTCATGGCGGCACAGCGGCGCAGGTATGCCATGGCTAGCTCGTAGAAGTCGGTTTCTGTCTGGAGGACTTCGCACCCGGCGAAATAGGCTTCCAGGAAGGTTGGGATGCCTGGTTGGCGGCCATTTAGCTCGGGTCGGTGGTTGAGGGTTACTGCGTAGGAGGCTTGCAGTTCTGCAAAAGTGGCGTAGGGGAGGGTGATGTTGTTACGGTGGGCCAGGTCCCAGCGGAGAGAGGGTGTTAGGGTGCCTTCGATGTGGACGTGGAGCTCAACCTTGGGAAGGTTGGCTATGAATGGGGTGATTTCGAGGCCGTTCATGATTGGTGTTCACCTTGAAATAAAATGCAGCGGAGATAGCTGTTAAATGTTCAAATGTCTTCGGAATTGGGGTAGACTCAGAGCTCCAAAAGCAAGCCTACGGTATCGGTGCATTAGTTTCGGCCCCAAAGGATTTAGGTCCATCCTCGTTCAATTGGGACCTCGAAGGATTCCTGCATCGGCGATAACATGCAGGGATGCAGCCAATGGGCCAATGAGAAGTGCGGGGAAAGATAACGGCATATTTTATAAGAGCTGAAATTATCTTGGAGATTCTCAGCGTTGTCTTTCAAACGAACGGTAATTTTCATGGATACAATGACTCCCGATGCAGCACTGGAACAGGGGACGGACCAGACTATGGCGAAAAGAGTACGGTGGAAGATTGACAGACGACTGATACCACTGCTCTTCACGACTTATATGTTCAACTTTATGGATAAGACCATCTTGTCGAGTGCGTCTGTCTTCGGGTTGAGGGATGATACTGTGAGAATATCTCGGAAACAAGACACAAAGAAACCCTAACTAAGATCATCTCTAGGGTTTGGTTGGCCAACAGTACAGCTGGGTATCATCGATCTTCTACTTCGGCTACTTAGGATGGGTATATCCAACAACTTTGCTCATTGCTCGTGTGCCCGCCGCCAAATACTTAACGGCCAATACATTTTTCTGGGGTGCTGTGGTAGCTCTGACTGCCGCCTGTACCAACTATGGCGGTCTCATAACAGCTCGCTTCTTGCTTGGGGTTGCTGAAGCGACCATCACGCCAGCGTTTATGTTTATTACCTCGACATGGTACACGCGTGATGAGATGCCTACCAGGACAGGTCTTTGGTTTGCTGGAAATGTATGTTGATTCCTGTCAGTACTCCTTGGATAAAAGCTCATTTTGACAGAGTGTCGGTGGGATTCTTTCCAGTCTTCTCGCCTACGGTCTAGGTCACGTCAAAGACCACGTTGGACCGTGGAGATGGATGTTCATCGTCCTTGGCTGCGCGACTTTCCTCTGGGCATTCGCAATCTGGACTCTACTACCCGACTCAATCTCCAAAGCCAAGTTCCTTACAGAAGAGGAACGCCAGTTTGCGAGCAACAGAGTTGTCGTTGCAGGCACAGGCTCAACGGAGAAAACTGCGTGGAGATGGGACCAGTTCCTTGAATGCTTGATGGATCCAAAGACGTGGCTTATCTTCGGACTGGAGCTCTGCACACAAATCCCCAACGGAGGAACACAGAACTTTGCCAATCTAGTGATTGTCTCGTTTGGGTTCACAAGCCTGCAATCGACATTGATCACCATCCCTTACTCGATCATCACCATCACCGCAATCACCGGATCGGGCTGGCTGGCCGGTCGTTTCCGCCACATGAACTGCTTGCTTATCGTAGCGGTTGTGGTCCCTTGCGTCATCGGCAGTGCGATCATCTACTCCCGCGAGCATATCGTCTTGGGTGTGCAGTTGTTTGGATATTTCCTTTTGTCGACTGGACCGGCGGCAATGCCGCTTGCTTTGTCCTTGGTGCAGTCCAATTACCGAGGAGTCACTAAGAAAATGACTGTCACTGCAATGCTCTTCCTGGCTTACTGCGCTGGAAACATTTCTGGGCCTCAGTTCTTCCTTAGTCACGAAGCGCCGCATTATAATACTGCTTTCCGAACGATTATGATTTGCTATGCCCTGGCTGTTGTGTTGGCGTTGGCTCTGAGGTTCTACCTGCAGTGGTTCAATGCTCGCCGTGTGCGTCTAGAGGGCTTTGTGGGTAGTGCTGGAAACGCGGGTGCTGTTGGTGGGAAGGCGTTGGATACTGATGATTCGAAGAACGTGGCGGATATGGTGAACCGAGTGCAATTGGTATCGGGTGACTATGAGGATGTCACGGACTGGAAGACACCAGGCTTCAGATATCGTTACTAAGGCAGAACGGAAGTATGGATGGATGTGGACGTACATGCCAGTTTCTGAGATACCGTGGGCTAATCACTTGTATTTATCATACTTTGCTATATAATCGATCAACAATGGATATAATCTATCCCTGCATCCCATTTCCATCACGCCAAATATTCATACACATCTCCACATTACGTTGCATCTAAAAAAGACCCCAGCCAAATTCACACTGAAGATCAAGACTGAGACTTCTCAGCCTGCTTTGGCCTCAACACATAACGCCACGTAGTCCCCAGATGCCAACGCTTCTCCTCCACAATCTCCAACCCACTCTCACGCACAATCTCCCCAATATCACGATTCCACCAGCAACCATGACGATCCGCATGAGCCGGAGCAAGATTATCCAAAATCTGATTAAGCCAATCATAATAAGAACGCCCATGCTCAAGCAACAAGATCCGCCCATTCTTAGGCTCCGTTACAGATCCCAGATGTCTCAACGTCGCAGCCGGATCCGGCATCGAACAAAGGCCCATAGTCTGCACAATAGTATCAAAGTAAACCGGCTCCCCCTTCTTCATCCCAGAACGCTGGATATCAGATGGCGAAACCGCACCCGCATCACAAACCTTGAACACCGCCGGGAACGAAGGATACAGCTTCTCGAACTTTTCCTTCGTGATAGCCACCATTTGCGGACTAAGATCGACAAACGTAACCGAGCGACAACCCAAAACCGCGGCACGACCATCCGAATCCGTCCCGCGACGCTCGCCGAGCTCGTAGAACGGCAGGTTGCGACCGGTGCCACAGCTGACTTCGAGAACGTTTCCCTGTGCCTGGCGCACTAGATCCCGTCGCTTCTTGCCGAGACCCATTGCCTTTTCCGAGATCTCGACGTCCGCGTCGAAGGTTGCGGCTGTTGTGTTGTAGCGGTCTGAGACATCGCGTGGCACGTCGAGGGTTTGCGCTTTGCTTACTTCGCGCGTATATGACGCGTACAGATAGCCACAGTATGTGCTGATTGTGAGTGCTGAGATACCCAGGAAAGTTAGGGCTCTGGGTGGGATGCCATGGCCTTGTTTTGGAGTTTCAGCCTTGGGGTTTTCAGGTTGTGTGTTCTGTAGGGTTGGAGGTTGGCGAGGTGGAGTTGCTTGTCGCCGTTTTATGGCCACTGGCTTGGAGCTTTTGGGGCTGGGAGGATGTTAGTTTGGTAGAGTTGAAAAGGTTTGGTTACATACCTCGGCTTTGGGGGTCGAGGTGTTTTGC